TTATTATTGTTATTGTTATTATTATTATTTTGTTGGTTGGTTGGTAAAATCCAATCCAATCAAAGTGGATCAAACTGCCCAGATACCAGGGCCAGGTCTGGTGCCAAGCTGGCACTGCTGACATGGCAAGTGGTTTGTCCATCAGTTGTGGGCCAGGTCTTGGGCAATGATGGCACCGTTTTTTGAGATGGCATGCCACAACTGGCCCAAATGTAGTTTGGTGCTGGCCCAAAGTGGACCAAATGTTTGTGCATTGTGTGGACTTGAACTGGGCCAGACAGGTTTTATGTGGGTGTATATTTGCTCAATGAAAAACAAAAGAGACCACTCTTTTCACCTTTGAATAAAAATACCACTGAACCATTACTCATGCCTTCTAGCGCCGGTGACGCTGGCAGCTCATCTGCTGTAATGTCTGGACTGAAGAGCATCTCACGCTGATGCCTAAAGAATCTGCTTAAAATGCATTTACCAGCGCCTGTTGAGCTGCAGGAGCCAGTGGAGTGAAGTGGAGGACAGATAAGGACGTGTTCAGACCTTGTCTCTGACAGCTCAGACAGATAAGAGTCACCATGGCTTCTGAGAGAGGCTGTTAGAAAGGACTCTCTTCATTTCACTAACCTTCAGCAGACTGACCACTGCTATTATTCTTCTGAATTCATTCACAGACACGTGTATGTTGATACCTTTACAGCTCATTAAAACAAAGTTTTTTCTGTGAAAAGTGTTTCAGTTAAACAGAACTGTTTACGTCTGGAAAATCATGTCCTAGCAGCTCCATGTTCTTGTTACCAATATTAATAAAAAGTACAAGATTCGTGAGACTGTAGCCAAATTTTCAAGATATAGATGCAAGGGTAAATGCAGCCCCAGGTTGAGCAGACAAATGTGTGAATGATAGTAAAAGAGCCAAGGAAATGTTTCAAAACCCATCAAACCAACCTCCAAAGTCAAGGTACTTTCTGATCACACCATTCATCATATTTTGAATAATGAGCTTCATGGAAGAAGACCCAGGACCAATATTAACAGCAAAATAAAAACAAACAAAAAAATCCTTACAGGATTTTTTCAAAATGCATGTTGACAACCCCCAAAATTTCAGAGAAAGGTTTCTTGGAATGAAGAGATGAGATTACTGTGGAAGCAACAAATTCTTCACATCTTCATATTGCAGCCTTCAACCATGACTCCTCTTCACAGACATATACTGAGGCATGTCTGCCATAGTACTCACATTATTCAGCCAAAACTGGGATTTTGATGAAATCAAAGTCTTGGTTTCAAACAATGCTGCTAGAAAATTTCACACAACACTCTTGAGAAATAATCAGATCAACCAGATTATTTGAATCCAACTTCAGTCAATTACTTGGGTGTTTGGTGAAAATGTGTTTTTTTCTCATAGTTCTCTATTTCCCATTAGCCCCCAACAGTCGCAGCCCAGTAAGTGAAAGAGAAAGAGAGAAAAAATGGAAAAAAAAATCAACAGGCTGGAATTTCTTTGCAAAAAAAAAAAACAGCTACACGGAGGAGAGAGAGAAAGCAATGGGTTTTAGTCTGTGGGTGGCTATAGATTATAAAGGGTTCGATCTGAGGTCTTCGCCAGAATGAGTCACTAAGATCCCAGACCATCTCTGCCTTTTAGCTGACGGCTGTGAGAACGCAGCCTGAGCTGCCCCAGCTCACATCAAAATGCACCAAGGAACAAAAAGAAAGCACATCTGCTTGCAGGGCATGATTTAAAAGATAAAAAGAAACTTAAAAAAAGGGAAATTCCATGTTTTGACCCGGGGCTAATTGTGGTYACCATGGAGAAGAGCTGTTGAAAGACATTTGGTTTATTAAGCTGAAAACCTATTCACAAGGGGTCTATTTAAAGAAATTGATGGTTAAAAAAAGACTTTGTGATATGAAAATGTTTTGAATACAAAACAATTCTCTGTTGCTCGTTATATCATCCCACCACAACTTGACTTTGAGATAAAAACCAGTCAACAAACAAAAACAAAAAAAAGATGAAAAGAAACTCATGGAGTGTGACTCCACACACAGAATACAGATAAGGTGGACTAAAAACATTTTACTGCCATACCATATACCAAATTATAACATGAACAATATCAGCTCTTACACACATTTTGACTTTTATTTCCTTCAATTTCTTTGCTTTCCACTTTCTGATTGGTGTGGTTGACATGACTCAGGTTTTTGAAGGTTTCCTACATCAAAAAGTTTTACTTCAGAGTGGGAGGCCTGATATGGGTCAGAGGTCACACTTCATCTCAGAGGGTGGAATAATGGTAGAACATCAGAATGCTCTCATGTGTTTCCCAAGCCAACACAGAAAACAACCCTCAGTCATTCAAGCTGAAATTTAAAATGTAGTGCTTAAAAGGCAGCAGTCCTCAAAATACAAACAAAACTGGAGACGTCAATAGTCAGTCTGGAGAAAGATGACTTCCAAACAGATTTAGACATGCAAAAATAGATCTGTGGAACTTGTCAAGAAAAAAAAAAACAGGGACCACACCACAAATTTTCATCATAACTCAAACAAGCTGCACATTAGAGTGAAAGTTGATTTTAGACGACATATATAAAACATTAAACATTTTGGTCTGCTATTAGATGGACAGAGTTGACTTCACAGTTATGGCAAACTGTTAACTGTTGTTTTTTATATCTGTGATCTGTTTTATTGTTTTTTTTCTTTCTGTGAAACACTTTGTGATGTTTATGTCTGTGAAAGGAGCTATGGAATAAAGTTTACTTACTGACTTACTGACTTACTTACTTACTTACTTACTTACTTACTTACTTACTTACTTACTTACTTACTTACATGCAAAGTAAAAAAAAAAATAAAAATAGGTCCCACACAATTAGTCAGTGCTCAGAATACTGTATGTGTTGAAATTGACTCAACTACAAACATGACAAATTTGATCTAAAGAAATACAAAATTGGCCAGTGTTAGCCATTTTTGTGTTTTCCAAGGCTGCTTAGTTATGGTACACATCTTGAATGGAGTTGACTTTATTAATCAGTTGTGGATGTACATCCAWTTATTACTTTCTGAAAGTTTGAAAGTACGAAATTTTGCCAAGAAACACCCACATACGCAAAAAATAAAATAGAAAAGACTAAAACATTATTGCCTTTGGTGTAAGGTGATAAATAAATCTAAACATTTCAGTTTCTACAAAATTGGTAAAAGTGTAATCATGCAAAAGGGGCTGAGGTAGACAAATTGTTTTTAAACCTGCGTACTGTCTGCAGGAAAATATTTATTCCTACACATGTTCCTGGCTGTGTGTGTTTTTTGTTGTKCTTGTGCTTGATTTGTAAAACCAAGTCTCCATTACACTTGACGCTTCTCGACGAAACGCAAGGAGCAGTACGGCTTCATGCGAAGGGGATTGGGCGGCAGGTTGTCGTACTGCGTTAGCATTTTGCTCAAAATAAACCGAAGTGAACAGAAGTAGCGTGAGTGTAATGGAACCATCATCCAGGGAGGGGAGTAGTAGCTGCTGCAGCCAGTTATTGTTCATTCATTCATCGCTCCGATGCAGCTGCAGCTGCAGCTCGGAGGTGGAAAATAAGGCCGTCGTAAACATGACATGTGGAGCTCAAGGTGGAACATTACAACTGGTCAATTTCCAAATAAAACTAATGCAACTAGCAAATTTTGTCATTTCATGTACAGTGTGTTAAAAACAGTGAAACAGTGTCCCTGTAGCCTGATGAAAAAAGCTGATTTACGTTCTGGTTGTTCTTGATTTGACTGAGCGACACCTTTCTTCTAGATATGAGAGACATGGAGGGGAAACACTTCTTGTTGGATCTCATGAATTCCAGGTGGCAAAAGAACTTGATGCTTTAAACAAAACGTGCGGCTCCCTTAACCGATGTCTTAACACTGGCTTGCATTGGTCTCCATGGTACTGCTACACTGAACTATGGTTGTCAGTTTTGCTCCTTCTGAAACAGGATGAAGGAGCTGATCTTGTGAAATCTCCTCATCACTTTGTTCACCGTGTCATTGTTAAGCTCAGAGATGAGCTGCAGATTCTAATTCTTATTTATTTATTTAGTGCGTGTTCAACCTTCCTGTTGCCAGTTACTTTTGCTTGCACAGAACTTCCTGTTGTATTTTGTAGTATCTAGCTTCCCTTCCTCCTCCTCCTCTCTCACACCTGGTCTGGGTCTGTAATCATCACACGTGTTGATTATGTTCATTCCCCTCTCTTGTTTATATAAAGTCCTGGCTTTTCTTTGTGCCTTTGCCAGTTTCTCGTGTTGCTTCACTTCTGTTGTCCTTGCCTTAAATCAAGCTCACACTGTACGACTTCAAAAGTTGTGAAGGAATTGTACATGTCGCACTGTGTGTGTGTGTTTGATGTTATAACATCTTAATAGTAACTTGTGTCTTACTGTATGATGTAAGAATTAGCA